GGAATGTCCCCAAAAAAAATTGTTTGTAATATTTTCTTTAAATGTTTGAATTTAATTTTTTTCAAAGAAATTCAAAAAATCTGAATAAGAATCATGGGCGGGATTCTCCGAAAAATTTCAAAAAAAAAAAATCATTGATTGGTAAAAAAACAAAAAAATGAGCGGGAAAATTACATAGTATTTTCGTATTTTTTCCTCTCTCTAGTATATAGTAATAGATTATTGACCTGAGGCCAATATTGTGTGTAAGAAATTGGGGGAAAAGGAAAGCCCATATGAAGCCCAAATTAGGTTCCATCCCAAAACCAATTGGTGAAAGGAGGAGTAGTCCATTAAACTTATTAAGTGGGTCTATTTTCCATGTATTAACAATGTGGGACAACTCACAAGTGATATTCTAACACGCCCCCTCGCTTGTGAGTCTGATATCATGTCTCTAACCAAGGCACAAAGTGGGCTCTGATATCATGTCTCTAACCCAGACACAAAGTCGGTCGGGCTCTGATATCATGTCTCTAACCCAGACACAAAGTCGGTCGGGCTCTGATATCATGTCTCTAACTGATGTAGGGAAAGCGTACGAATGGGAAGGATAAACGAGTAAACGAGATACTCTCTCGTAAAACACGCAAAACTTTCAATATCTTATTTCATATTCAAAATCAACTGAATAAAACAATAGATGAGGAGTCCTTTAAATAAGGCTCAGAACCCTATTCCTAACTTGTCCAACAAGACAAGATCTCTTATAATAATATTAGATTTCTAACTTATTCTCTAAGATACCTATAATAATAATAATAATAATAATAATAATAATAATCATCTACACCACTAACCCAGACACAAAGTGGGCTCTGATACCATGTAAGAAAGGAAAAGATCATATGAAGCCCAAGTGGGGTTCCATCCCAAAACCAATTGGTTAAAGGAGGAGTAGCCCATTAAACTTATTAAGTGAGTCTATTTTCCATGTATTAACAATGTGGGACAACTCACAAGTGATATTCTAACATTGTGTGTGTATATATATATATATGTATATATTTATATAAACATTAATTAAATGAACCAAGCTTGAAAAAAGTATTTCAAAATCCAAACTTAACATTTTTAATTATTATTATTATTATTTTTAATTTAACACCCCTGACTTGATACCGCTCCTCTATAATACCGCCACATGTCATAAAAAAGACCATGAGCCGAACATATATCCTCCCCGCGTTGACTTTCAGTCGGTTTCTCAACAAAAGGCCCCACATCGGAAAAATAACAATAAACATTATAGTTTATGAAACACCTGCCCGAGCACAAAGTTCGCCGGGTCCAGTTGCGCGGGCCTGTTACCCATGCGGGGGCATTAAGGCGACGGGAGGTTTTGAAAGGTGGTTTCTGCCCAGGCTCTACGCACTCTGTTTGTTCCCTTTATAGGGGTCTCTTCCCCTGCGGCGTTTCATGATAAACTGGCGCTCGGCGGGCTGAGCCGGTTGATGGGCGTGTGGGGTGCGTCCACTGCTGCCTGCCTGTCTGTCGAAAGGTCCCCCTGAAGCCGTTCGGCGGGTGGGCGGTTGCGGGTGGCTCTTCAAGTCTGTTGGCTGGTGAGTACCGTTGGGCGTCCAGCGCTGTTCGGCTACGTGTGTGCATGCGGGTGAGCTTTCAGGGTGCTTGCTCGATTGTGTGCGCGTGGCCGGCAGTTGCTGACACATGTTTGAGCTTGTGCTGGCTTCACAGAGCAGCATCGCTGCCACTGGGAACTGCTGTAAAAGTGCTGTTAGAGCCTCGGACAGGACCATCTTCAAACCGAACCTCGACCTTTTTATTTTATTTTATTTTAATTTTTGCTTGAGTTGGGAACAATATAGCTTGAAAAATTTGATTGTTTCTTATCACATACTTTTCGGGATAAAATGTTTTCTTTTGGTGCTAACAAGATTTTTGGTGGTTGCAGGAAAAATTGGCATTGCAAAAAATTATTATTATTATTTATTATCCCAACCATAATAAATATATGCATATAAAAACCAACTGAACTTGGAAAATCAATCAGATGACATGACATTAATTAGTGCCCCAACATTTTTCTCTAATATTCTCTTATATTTGTTCATATATAGTAAACCAAATTAGTCGTCATTTACCAATGTTGATATCCGAGCTCGCCATCCAATCAATCCCCACAGGACGCATGTGTCGTCAACAGTCGAGTCAATATAATAGGGAACAAGGTTTATTCGGTTAACGCCGAACATCAGAAAGCCCAAAGACTCTATCCTCGGCGCTTCATGAGGAAAGCCGAGCTGTTGCGGCCGGCCTGCTGCAACTTGTGAAGAATTGGAATTAAAAATGACAGTCAATCTCCAAGCTGTCGGACACACGTGTTAAGGCTATAAGCCATCGATCGCAGTGGAGATTCGAGCCGTAATCGTTAAGCATTAAATGTTGTACTTTTTGAAAATAGAAAAGAACATTTGTACTACACACATACAATAATCAGTGGTACTGACATATTAATAGTCCCAAGAACCACTGCTTTTTACCCAAGAGTAAATATCAGAGGAAAAGACCGAACTACAAACCTGTTCGGCAAGTCCATGTCTAAGAAAATAATTCCTTATTTCCCAATAGCTTGGTATATTGGTTGTTACAATTTCGTATAATAACGATTTTCAACCGATATTCATATTTCACGTATATAAAAAATGTATATGTTTTTAGAATTAGAATCGTTCCGTCGGGATTTAGAACTGTTAGATCTAACTATCTCTAACGGTTAATGATGACCTAATGGTTACAAATCCTAACGGAACTGGATTGAAAAAGTATTTCAAAATTCAAAATAAACATTTTTAATTATTATTATTATTATTTTGAAAGGTGGTTGTTTGTGCCCAGGCGGTCTACGCACTCTGGTTGTTAGAGTTGTCTCCCTCTGCGGTGAGTGTGTGACGATTAGCCGGCGCTTGGGCGGACTCAACCGGTTGATGGGCGTGTGGGGGGTGGCTCCTTTCCATGTTTGTTGGCCGACGAGTGCTGTTTGGGCGTCCAGCTTAATCGGGCTCATGCATGAGTTTTGCTGGCTTCTCAGAGCAGCACAGAGAGCCTCTATAATTGGAAAATCTATCAAAATATTTTTGTCATGAATAACTCAACCCCCGAACATGTTCTTACCAAAATTCAAACATCAAATATACATAATTTATGAAAAATATACAAAATTGTTAATTCTCTTACGACAAATTCCTTTTTCTCCTCGAGTGTTGAGGTTTCCATCAGCTCTTCATTGATATAAATCTCAGGCTCATACATTAAAGTGACAGTTGCAGCAGGTGACAATTTTGCATGATCTTTGCCAATTCCTTTCCGAGCTATGGCTCGTAAGTTCAAGCTCCTGACCACGGCGTGGCTTAACAATGATGATCCCCCTATTATCCGTGTTTTCAACCCCGGACGAGGAGTCAGAGAAATCAACTGGAACAACGGTGTGGTCGGGGCTGAGGAGGTCCTTAGAGGTAACATCAAGCGTCTGGTCGTTGATGCACTTGGCGCGCAGATGGAACTCGACGGAGCAGTACCCGCACTGGCCGTCTCCGTCGCAGGTGTCACAGTCGCGCGAGAAGCGCTCGCTGGTGAGGGGAATAAGTCCCAGCCGGTGGGCGATAAACTCATCGTTGAGGACGGAGGAGTTGACCTCGATTTCGACCAAATCGATGGCAACAGTGGGGACCTCGGCGATCATGACGCAACGGAGGGTGTTGGCGATGCTGGGGTCGGTGTCGGGCAGCTCGAACTTCATGAAGTCGTCCCTAACCGTGCGGATTTTGATCTTCGGGAACCTCTGGTACGAAACACCCTTCATCTTCGAGTTCCTCTGTTCAGTTCCTCGTTTGAACAAATTTAAATCTGTCCCATCAAATTTTAATTCATTAAACGAGATCGTGATATCAATCAGAGATTCAGATGACATGTCTCAAAAGATTCAACCGCGTGAGACGAAGGAATCAATCACGCCACGTAGTTCTCAAAATAGACATACTTATTATTTCACCCACATCGAAAAAATAACAATAATCGTTTTACTTTATAAAGCCAATTGTCAACAATTTTAATTGCCGGGTTGGGTTGCGCTAACCTGTCACCCAAGTGGGGGCATTAAGGCGATGGAAGGTTTTTACAATGGGGCGCCCAGATCTGGCTCGCGCGTAAGCTCAACGATTAGCCACCTTTGAGGGGAGCCGTTGACCAGGTCCCTGGCGGTGGGTTTTATATTAAGATATACACATAAGGACGCCGGCCGGCAGGGTGCCCCCAGAAGTCTTTGTCGGCCGGCGAGAGTGGTGTTGGGCACCCCACCGGGCCGTGTATGGGTTGAATTGTGCCGTGGCAAATGGACAGGTTATGGGCTTAGGACCATAATCTGTAAATTTGCCACGGCCCAGATGTCAGCGTGTAAAAATTTGCTGGCTTTTCAGAGCAGCAACAGCCGCTATCGGGGCTCATCCGAGAGAGTGTGCAATTAGGCGAGCCTGGGGCCTCCTCCATTCTCAAACCGAACCTCGACCTTTTGCGATTTTTTTAATTTTTTTAATATGAAGTTTCATTAATAATTAACAGTCTACAATTTGAACAAATCTCATAATTTTTTTCACCAATATGAAATCTCAATGCGAAATTAAAATAATCTGCAAATATTTTGGGGCTTACTCGACCAAAACAGTTGGTAATCAATTTACTACTAGTATTCAATTTGTGTACATTCACACACACACAAAAATATATATATATATATATATTATATGCATGTATACAACATATAATATTTTATATTATATAATGAATGTATTACATTTTAAGTTTTTACTATTTGCAGACGTGTAATGTAAATATAAATTAGTTAATTTATGTATGAATCTTTATATTGATGTCATAAATTAATGGACAATATAATTTAGTAATTAGAGGGATCATATATTTAATTAGTTATAAAAGTATTACAATTATTTTATTATTGTTATAGCAATGGTGTATTTGATTTTAAGGTGTTTAATTATGACACTCATGTCAATTAACTAATATAGGTAAAAATCGCTTTAAGAGATAAAAAAAATGTTTTATTTTAGAATTAGTATTTTAAAGGAAAAAAAATCAATAAAATTTCTTATAAGTATGTAACTTTCACATACTATTTAATGTAAAATTATAATCAGTTAGTGTTAGTAGTAATATTATATAATAAATTAGTTTAAAAATGTTATTACTTTATTTAAGTAAATGTAACGTGTCTGTATTAATAGAAAAAATAAACAAGAAAATTATGAATGTTTTATTTATTGCTCTGACAACAATTATCCTCCCTATATATAATTTCCGAATGCGCTGAGTCTACGTGGCTGCTTCTGGTGCTTCGTAATCCTACTTGGCGAAAAATCATGCTTCATAATTAGGTTTGGACAAATAATATTGATATATTAATAATTAATAATCTCGGTTTAGACATTCCATAAATATTATTTAGTTAACTTAGGTATTTTAATATCATTGTACTAATATAACTCTTTAATTCCTTGTAATTTTACATAGTGGGACACTAAGTGACTAATATATCCCTGACTTTTGATTTGTTTCCTTCAATTAGCTATTGAATTGTAAATGTATTTTAAAAGTTGATAACTTTTGTATTTCTTATCGGTTTTAAATATATAATATATCAAATTAATCATCTTTTGATGATCTTCGATTTGACATCCATATTGTATATATTGAAATAAATAAATTATATTTATATTTATAATAATAATAAATATCTATATTTATTAAAATTCATTAGGAAAATCAAATTATTTCTCAATTGATATAATTATGTTTAATGTAGTTATATGTCGTAAGTTAAAAAAATTATTATAATATAACACAGGTAAGTCGCACAAATAAAAAATATCATACTAAATATATAATAATATATATTTTTATAAAAGGTATTTACATTTTTAACTATTTTTCTCATTAATTTTAGATTTTAAGAAAAAAAATTAACAAGCACCCATGTAATACACGGGAATTGTACTAGTATATGTATATATATAGATAACGTAAGGTTAGTTATTAGTTAAGCAAACATGATAAAATCATGCTTAATTTGCGTTTGGTGCCTAATCAATAAGTTGCCGTACTATTTGTTTTGACAAATATGTAAACCCTGTCATATTTAAAAAACAATATAAACATAAATAAGACATTTGATAGTATAATTATATATTTTTTATTCAAATGTTCAGTTCGTCTATCAATTCAATATTAACATTTTTATTATTTCAAACAAAGGTGATGTACATGTAGCAGCGTAGACAATCCGAGTTGAGTACGAACTCAGATACTCCAACTCTGAGTTTTTTTACGAATCGAGCTCAGCTCCACTCGTTAACTAAATGAACAAATAATAAAAAATAATTCTTTCAAGTTTCAGTGAGCCGAGGCAAGTATGAATAACTAATCAAGCATAAACAAATCAAGTTTTATTGGGAAAACAATAGAGAACACAGCCATTTTTTCTTTCGCTTATATCGTACGCACATAACGCCGTTTGATTCCCAACTGTTTTTCCTCCGTTAGGCCTTCTGTTGCTGCTAGCCGACTCGTTCAGCTAAAACCCTCTCGAAGAAGAAGAAAATGGGGTTTAGATTCTTGATCAACCTGAACCCAATTCACAGATCGCGGGCTTCAAGAATCAAAACGTACTTGGACTCCAACATCTTGAAAAATTCTTGTGCATATTGGGATTCGGGGTTTCGCGATCGGTCCGATTTTTGTTCTGGGAACCCTGGTTTCACGGCGCAGAGGCGGTGTCACGTGGGCCACTCGCACCGGGACCGCGATTCATCGACGGGGAAGGAGGGGGAGAAGATTTTCCGGCTGGGCCTAGCGGCGGACATCGGGCTGGCCACCGGAAAGGCCGTCACTGGGTATCTCTCCGGCAGCACCGCGATAGTGGCTGACGCGGCTCATTCGATTTCGGATGTGGTATGGGTTTCTGGAGATTTTCTTTGGTTTGATGAATTTAATTTCAGTGTTTGAGCAAAAGCATGATTTGGGCATCTCTCTGTCTGTCTCTCCAGGTATTGAGTGGCGTGGCACTGTTGTCGTTCAATGCGGCGAGGGCGCCAAAGGATAAAGAACATCCATATGGTCACTTTTGATCTGAATCTTCATTCTAAATGTTTCTAGCTTAGAATTTTCCTCAGGTCATAGTGATTTTCTTTTAGTTGGTGTTTTTTTATGTTCGAAAAATTAGATATGTTGGATGAGGCTTTAACCAATTGATGAAGGCCTTACTAGAATTGTTTCATCACTTGGTTTATTAATCTCTCTGCCACGCAAATGTAGTCGGTAAATTGTAATTGGTCTAGCTCGTATAGTGTTGAATCAATAGCTTGTAATGAAGAAATTGGTTTTATTGCTCGAAATATTATGCGAAGATGGTGAATATATATTTGGTTCTGAACAGAGACCGTGCCAAAATTGTTTGGTGTGCATTTTCTTTCTGAAAATGTAACTGTCTATACTCTGAAGTTCATTGTGCCCTCCATCTTTCAGGACATGGCAAGTTTGAGACTTTAGGAGCACTTGGAATTTCTACCATGCTTTTGGCAACGGCTGGAGGCATTGCTTGGCATGCATTAGATGTCTTGATGGTATGGTTGTGTATATTCTGAAAAGGATGTAATGCAGTTTAAATCCTTACTTTCTTCAAGTAAATTTATTTTTGCAATGGTAGGAGATATGGACAGCTGCTCCTGAGATAGTCAATCAATCCTTGAATCATAATCATACACATGGCGGACATCACCATGAAATCGATATGGAGCATCCAGTTCTAGCGTTAAACATGACTATAATATCGATAGCTGTTAAAGAGGGGTAGACTAGTCTTTTTCTCGTCTTTTGCCCTCCTCTCTCTCTTTAAAGTTATACTTATCTATTCTTTGTTAGTCTTTATCTAATAATTCTGTATATCTCTTAGCTGTATTACTACTTTATGTGGTAGAACATAGTTTCAAGTTTCTCAATTGTTACATTTTCTGATATGTCTCTTTTGGCGTATGATTTTGGTATTGACTTTTTTTGCCTAATATTTTGTGTTGGCAAGGCTCTACTGGATAACAAAGAGGGCAGGTGAAAAGTCGGGCAGTGGGCTCATGAAAGCGAATGCATGGCATCATCGTGCGGATGCTGTTTCATCAGTCGTTACTCTCATTGGGGTTGGTAAATATTCGTTTTTGGGACCTTTCATGGCTGCATTGCATTTCTTTTCTTTGTGTGGATGTTATGGTTGTGTGGGCCAGTTAAAATGTGTTTGTAACTGAGGAAAATGAAAAGGGATATTCATATTATTTCCCCAAATATTGAGGTCAGATAAATGGCTTCTTCATGCAGCTAAATCTGAGCTGCAATTGCTCCAAGTTTATCCGCTAGGATTGTCTTTGCCTTATTTATTTATTTTTTCCTTTTTTTCGACAATATACCCATAGCCTGTAAGTTGTTTGTATTGTCAATTGTCATATAGTGCAATCTTCAAAGTTTGTGAAGATTTCTCGTTTCTTGCAAAAAATAGGTGGATCAATTCTCGGGGTACGATTCCTTGATCCTCTTGCTGGACTTCTTGTTTCTGGAATGATATTGAAAGCTGGACTCGAAAGCGGTTATGAAAGGTAGATTTTTGTTTCATACTTGTTTTGCTATTACAAGATGTATAGTTCATTCAATGTTCAACTGATGTCTTCTACTAAACCAGCTCAACAGAACCAACGTAGATAAATCCCTTGCAAGGTGAATTATTTGAAGGATTACTCTCTTGTTTGAAAGATAGCCCACCGTTATCCATTTCCAAGATTTTTATTTTTATTTTTTTTTATTATTATTATTATTTTTTTTTTCTAAAACAAGAATATTATCAGCTTTACATGTGTGAAGATGATTTCTGTTTGACTAGAGTATAATAGTGTCTCATTCCATTTTTCGGCGTATGTTCAAGTTTAGTATCTTGGAATTGGTGGATGCTGCCGTTGTGCCTCAACAACTCGAACCTTATAAACAAACTATACTTCGAGTTGAGGGAGTTAAGGCAAGTCAATCATAGAAAACCCTGCATCAATTAATAGTTTTCTCTCTTTCACTCTAAATTTGCGTTGCAAATTCTAGGGATACAAGCACATGAGAGGAAGACGAGCCGGATCTTCCCTTTATCTTGATGTAGATGTTGAGGTTTGTTGGCTCTCCACGATTTCGTTATTAATTATGCCTTCATAACAAATTTTCACGATGTTAATACTTTTTTCATTTCTGTTATATAGGTAGATCCTTTTTCCAGTGTTAGTGCTGCACATGATATTGGTGAAAACGTTCGGCGTCAGCTTCAGCAATCTTATCCTGAAGTAGCGGAAGTTTTCATACACATTGGTGAGTAGTTAACATTTGTTTTTATCTCGATTTGCTTGGTTTTGTTTTGCTCATTCTGTTTTTCTTCTCAGAGCCGGCCACTTCACATATCTCGGGAAGTGATGGAAATCACCAAATAAATGTTAAAAGCTCAGATCATCATGACAATACCAGATTATTGGACCAAACTGATGTTGAAGATATAGTTTCTAAAATTTTGTCCTCCAGGTTCTCAGAGGTAAGCGGGACATATGAAAATAAATTAGCAGACATGTATATGAATTCTGAAGTATCGTTTTATCGGTTATTTATTGTTTGTTTATTTTTTCAATGTTATTCCTATACTGCTCCTTTTTTTATGGCTTCCAGAAAATGGAAGTTGAGCGCATCACCCGACACTCGATTCAAGGGCAACTTTTTCTTGAAATCGAAGTCTCGATGCCACTGGACTTGTCAGTTAGGTGAAGTTCAATATCTATCTATTGATTGTCATAATATTAATACCCCAATATTTTACTCGTCTATAAAATTCGACTTAAGACCACAAATGATACAAAATCCAGGGAGGCTGAAGAGGTTGCAAAAGAGGCCGAGAAAACGATTCTGGAGGTTGTGCCAGAAGTCATACACGTGTCCATTCAGCTTCGACTTGGACGCTCGATGCCCGAGTTTCGAAAAAAAGTGGGCCGTTAAGTTGCGCCTTTAATCGGTTATTCATGACTAAATTATGTACTATACATGAAATTTGGTATCTTTTTGTCACCAAAATCACTGGTATATATGTTTTGGCATTTTGTGACAAAGAAAGACTGGGATTACTGAATAGAATATTTTGGTATCTTTTGCAAGTTTGGGAGTATTGAAGCAATTTGAAATTGTACTAGATGAGTTTATCAATTTCATATTACAATGATTATTATTATTATTAATTATAATACTATATCCCTTACACTGTTAAACTCCTCACGAGGATGCGAGAGCTGCTGATCAGAAGTGTCCGCTTGCATTGGTCGTTGATTCATATTCTCCGGACCCAATTGCCCATCAATCAGTAAATCGTGCAGTCCTGATCCACCGAGCCCCAAGAAATCAACGGTAGCCATTGCATTTCCACCCAAGCTTGGCGGAGTTCCTCCCATCATATTATTACACTTCTCTTGTGCCTCCACCACATCCTTCAAGAGCCCGGCCACTGGATTTTGGTCGCCGATAAAAATCGTGCCACAAACAAAAGGCCGGGCCACTGTATCTTCTGTATTCATCTGCAGAAATTTGTCGAATGTTTGGGTATTGGTTGTAGGCCCAGGCCCAGACAACAGGTCCGGGCCTGCCATGATGCTGTCCAAGGTCCCCTGCATTATTTCCATGGGGGAGTGCATAGTGTTTGAAGTTGTGGCGCCCATCTTGGCCGCTTCCTGTAAAAGGGCCGTGGCCGGCATGGTTGGGCCGAACATTTGGCTCAATTTGTCGTCTGGATGAAAGTTGTAGCTTGATGTTCCTGGATTTGCGCTGAGCTGAAGTCCAGACGATGTAGTAGGAATGCTTAAGGGGCTGCTGCCGAATACAGTACCTGATGATGACGTGGCAAGTAACATGCGAGCCACATGCATGGGCTTGAATGGGCTGTTGAATTGGGTTACCCCTATGGAGGTGTATGCGTTGGTACTTATGGGCATGAAATCAGTCATTTGGGCTTCTACATCCTGTGCCGTTGAGCCCATTATTATGCCTTGTCTCGCCTTGCTATTTTCTTGGGCCAGTGCATCACAGAATGCCCTGTGAGCTATAAAGCTATCTCTCCTGATCAGTGGACAAAATTACAAAAAAGAAATAAATAAATAAAAACTAAAATAAAGGAAAGAAAAAGTAGCCAAATTAAGCTATTTTCACATTATAAACTAAAATTGTTTATTTATTAAAAAAAATATGTTTCTTTTAGAAAGCCAATTTTTTTTGGTTTAATAAATTAAGGAGAACCAAAAAGAACATTATTGAAGATAATAATAATAATAATAATAATAATAATGATAATAATAATAATAATATTAATAATAATGAGGGTGTATTTGTCTATTTAGCATAATTGTTGATTTCAAATTTAAAAAAACCCTAAAATTACATAACTAGCTAGGTCCCTTTAATTCTAAAAAAAAAAAGTTAAAATTACTAAAGAAAACTTATGCAGAGAAAATGTTCAATGTTATTTAGCCAAAAAACTGCATGAATATCATCATTTCTTGATTTTTGAACCTGGAGAAAACAGCTCCACAATCACATTTATACTCCCTGGTGCCACAAGTTTTGCAATGAGCCTTCCAATCCGATTGCACCGCGTATTTTTTCGAGCATTTTTCGCATTTCCACTTTTTCTCCCCATGTTTTCTACTATAGTGCTTCTTGATCCCGGTTAGGTCGCCAAGAGCACGAGACGGATCGTTATGCACACATGTTGGCTCGGGACAAACAAAAACTCGCCTTTTAACCTCATTTGTTGTCCTCTGTCTTAGCTTCCATGGGAGATTATGACCCCTTTTGTGTAGTTGTAGGTTTTGGTCCCTTTGAAAACCTTTGTTACAAATTTCGCACACGAACCGGTTTGTGGCCATGAGGGTTTTAGGCGAGAGAGCAATAACTTCGGCCGTTGGATCTAATTAACATGTGATGATCATGATCGTATAATTTAGGAGTACAATAGATATATATCTATTAATTGATAATTTATGTACTGCAAATTAATTGAAAATCAGATAATTAATTTTAAGTTTGATGAACCCTATTTGAAAAAGGAGATGCAGTAGTTGATGGGAAAAGGTGCAATCAAGCATGCACAGTGTGGTGATTGCAATTATTGTGATATTCAAGGCAATTATTGGAACACTTCTATATGTGGTTTAATTTTTTGATAAATTATTTATTTATTTCTTAATATATGATCATTATATTACACACATGAAATGTTTATTCATTAAACTCTAAGTTAAAAAATAAAAAAAAAAAAAAATAATAAAAAAAAAAAATTATGAAAAAAATTTACCTGGAGTTCCTGGTAGATTTCTTTTCTTCTTAAGAGGCTGTAATTGTTGATGAAAAGTTGAGCAAATATTGTTATTAGTCGACTCGTTTCGAAGCTGTCGATTATCGTGTTTTCGGACTACTTCACCAGATGAGAAGCTTTCCTGATCATAATCATCATGATCACCTGTAACATTTGACATTAGATCAATATAATGTAACTGTATAGGGAAATCTAAGCTAAAATAACTTTTGAGAAGTAGTGTCTTTTTTTTTTAGGTTTGTTTTTGCTTTTTATAAAAATGGGAATTTAATTAAAATTGGAGGAGGGACAAAAGGGCCAGGAAATTATCCTGTATTTGAGGGAGCTAATGAGTTTTGATCTTCTTTGTGTTATATGGTTTTGTTTTATTTTTTTTGTTTTATTTTTTATTTTTTATATTATATGATGTTGATTAGAGGACAGGTGATTGAGAAATCCTACCAACTTTTTTCAATTATAAACAATTATAATTAAACCTTGTAGAATAGTAAAAAAAAAATTATAATTATATTAGAGAAGAAACATAGCACACACACACACACGCATGTGTTTTATTTTTTAATTGGATTTTTATTTTTATATTCTTTTTTTTTTCCAAATGGTTGATGATTGATTGCTTGAATTTTGGGAGTTTAATTAATTAATTAATAAGCATATGAAAATTACTGAATTTCTTGTTTGTCTTGCAAACAATCATTGGAAGTGATATATTCAAAATAGTAATTATTAAGAATCGGGGAAAAACGGGTGCGATCCCACGCAGATGAAGCGCATGATATTTTAATTTTATTCTTAACTTACATAATAAACTATACACTATCAGAAATATCCTTCCTATATATAATTTCCGAATGCGCTGAGCCTACGCGGCTGCTTCTGGTGCTTCGTAATCTTACTTGGCGAAGAATCATGCTTCGTAATTAGGTTTGGACAAATAATATTGATATATAAATAATTAATAATCTAGGTTCGAGTATACCATAAATATTATTTAGCTAACTTAGGTATTTTAATATCACATGTACTAATATAACCCTTTAACTCTTTGTAGTTTTATATAGTGAGGCACTAAGTGACTAAAATATCCCTGAATTTTGATTTGTTTCATTCAATAAGCTATTGAATTATAAATGTATTTTAAAAGTTGATAACTTTTATATTTCTTATCGGTTATATATATATAATATATCAAATTAATCATCTTTTGATGATTTTCGATTTGACATCCATATTGTATATATGGAATAAATAAATTATATTTATCTTTATCTTTATAATAATAAAAAATAATAATATTTATTAAAATTCATTAGAAAAATAAAATTATTTCTCAATTGATATATTTATATTTAATGTAGTTATATATTGTAAGTTAAAAAAATTAGTATAATATATATCATAGGTAAGTCGCACAAATAAAAAGTGTCATAATAAATATATATAATACATATATATATATATATATATATATTCTTATAAAGGTATTTAAATTTTCAAACTACTTTTTCTCATTAATTTTAGATTTTAAGAAAAAATTAGCAATTTTAGATTTTAAGAAAAAATTAGCAAGTACCGGTGTAATAAACGGGTGTTGTACTAATATATATAAAGCCAATATTGGTACGTATAAGTCAATATATTCAGCCAATGATATCCTTGCATCTACGCCATTTATAAATTATAACCATAGAAAAGGACATTAGGCTTTACGATTAATCTAATTTACCTGATATATATAGACATTTTAATATTGGTACTATTTAAAATAATAATTGGTGAGGGAGCTATTAAAATTGTTCTTGCAGACATATATACGTCAAGTTAGGACTTGGTCATCCATCTTCAAATAGATTTAACAAATCTATGAAAGAGCTCGAATTCGACTCGTTCAAATCAAAATATGTTAACCGTTCAAAGACCAAAGTATTAAGTCAAATTATTTTCAAGCCTTATAAGTGTACCGGTCAAGCTCATTAACTAAACGAACTCAAACTTAACTCTTTTAAACTCGACCTTAAAGAGTTGAACTCGTTTCATTTAGTAGTTCTGGTGAACAAAATAAACTCATTTTTAACTTAGTTGACACATCTTAAATTTCAGAAAAAAAACTCAAATTTAATTTAAATTTGGAAAAAACAAACAAACTAGAGGATCGGATCAACCTATTTATAAAACAAATGAATTGTTGTACCTAATGCAATATAAAATTGGAAAATTCTACGGTCCCGTTAACCATTCCGTCAAGTTTGTAACCGTCGAAAATAGTTGATTTAACGGTTGCAAATCCCGACAGAGTGATTCCGTAACGGAACCGTAACATCTCCCTATAACATTTTTACTTTATTTCCTCCAACTAAAATTATTGATTTCCAATTCAAGAACATCAAGAGTGGCCAACTTGGCCCCTTGAGGAGTTTTGCTTTCATATATACAATCTCATACCTTTTTGACTGACATGTAAAGATAGATAATCCCAAAAAAGAGAAACAATATTTTAAATCACTTTTCACCCTAAAACCAACCAACTTCAAATCATTAGTCAATATATTGCCCCCTTGAGCCAATTCTCTATGAAGACAATGTGCTTTTTTTTCATTGTACCTTAAAAACGTACAATGGCGTATAGCGAGCACTACAAAAAAACTCTTACATTCCAACGGAAATTTTCCGTTGGAATTTTTTATATTTCCGTTGGAATAGTTATTCCAACGGATATTCCTATGTATAAAAATCCGTTGAAAAAACGGCTGTTGGAATAGTAAATATCCAACGAAAAATCCTATGGAAATAAATTCCTACAGCTATTCCAACGGAAATAATCCGTTGGAATTCCTCAACTATACAACACTTATTCCAACATAAAATTAAGTTTGTTGGAATATTCATTGGAATTTCCAACGGAAATTTTTGCCGTTGGACTTTTTCGTTGGAATCAAAAAAAGATTGGAATACAATCTGACCACATTATCGTGGTTTTGGATCCCACCGCCCATTTAGCAATGGCATGAGCAATCGTATTATGAAGTCGATTGATACGCTGACAAAGTTCACATTCTAAAGAATCCAGGAGTGCCAAGATGTTCGAGAAAATACCTTCAAAAGGGTGATGTGAATCATTTACAATTAGCCCTTACACTAACTCAAGACAATCTGTTACATGATTTGTCTAAATTTGTATTGGTAAGAACTTCTGGGATTTTTCATAATATTAATTAAAATTCATTTTCAACTCGTAGGCTATTTTTATTTTTTCAAAAACATTACACTATTTCTCACACTATAATTTTAGTAGTATAATATTTAAAGTAAAAATTAAATTATTCAACATAGTTTATTATATAATATTTCATTCATTTCATTCATATACTTTTAGCACAAGTGTTGTTGTTAGTCTGAGGTCGATCACTTACACTTTTAAAACGAAAATAGAGTTATGAAATAGTATAAAATTGACGTTCCAATATTGAAATATTCATATCTATTCAAAAATTATAACTATCTAAGTATTTCTTTCTGAAGCTCAAGAAGTTCAGTTGAGATTGGGCACAGCATAACGCCCCCATTACAGGCCCAACTAAATTATTGTTAGTGGGCCGTAGTCGATCTAAACATAAGTTTATGGGCTTTAGCTCGAGATGTCAAACGCCTTGATCAAGAAGAGAAAATTACGAACAAGACATTTGCTAATTTAGTTGGGCCGAACATCTAAAGAAGTAAGCCCAATAATTGAGCCCAAATCACGGCCACCTAAAAAAAAGAGGAAATTACACCAGCTACCATTCAAAACAATTTTATTTGCACATTTACTAATCTTTTAACTTTTTTTGCAATTATACTAGCTATTAAATTTTCTCTCTCCAATTAAAACCTACTATAATAACTTTTACACTGTAAAAGAAAAAAAAAGAAAGAAAAAAAACTGTAAAAAAGGAGATCGATGGAGACAAAGAAAACGAGATTCGATAATGACAGGGAAAGTTGGCTCAATTCTCGAAGGTGGACACCGGCGGCAGAGGCAAGAGTTTAGCTCGATTCTCGGAGGCGGAGGTCGGTATCGATTCTCAAAGGCGGAAGCCGGGGGCGGAGGACGAAGGTGAAGGTCGATCTCGATCAAAGGCAGACGGAGGCGGAGGTGTGGATGAAGGTCGAAGTATCGGAGAGGCTGTTAGCCTGTTTGAGATTGGGAGAGTGAGAGAAGTTACATGGTCGAAGTATCAGAGAGGCTCCGCGTTCAGCTTTCTTTATCTTTTTTTTTTTTTTT